CCGCAAGGTTGATGGCCTTACTCCAACCATCTCCGCTGCTGATTCACTCGTGCTCGCTATTTTCTGCCTCAAAAGATTGATTCCCATCAGCTCACGGATATCATGCAATAGATCGGCTTGGGGAATGGGCACATTTTGTAATTCTGACTCGGAAATTGTGGAAGACATTTTGTGAAAATACTTTTCAGACAAGTAAACTATGGTGTTGTGCTTACAATCTGGCTATATTCACATGATTTAGCTATTCTTAACTAATCATTTCATCATCTGACTCTAGTATCAGCCACACACACCATCTTTCACACTACTTCTGTTAGCCCTTACTACACCCCATGTTCGCTGTCCCCCTGTATTCGTTGTCCCCCCCGGCATTTTAACTGACGTTCCACCATGCCTCGAGAACCTCCTTACCCGGCGATGGGGCGCTTGGACATTGCGGGGCATCAGGACACGTTAGCGCCGATGATTAACTGCCTTGAAGTTGAGGCGTTCATGATAAGTGGCCGAGTAACTTATGCGCAGCTGAACAACCTCAACCTCTTTCAAATAGTCTACCGGTACCGTACTCGATCAGGATTCCCTGTAAGCATGTCCAACCTACTAAGTACCCCCTAAGAGGTGTTGCAGTTAGCCCTAAAATTTGCCCAGTGGTTGCTCAAGTTAGTGTTGTCTGCCAAGGTAATAATATCTTAGCGTTCTATCCCGGTTAGGGAGCAGAGGTGTAAAATCTTTACCGGATTGGGAAATGATCGCCCGCTTAATAACCCACTTTGAGCTTGCTCGATATGTTGACTCGCCAGACTGGGGGGTCCGTAGGGGCTAGCAAAGTACCGTACTCAACAGTATCAACAGAGTACGACTAGTTAAGAATGCGCCCCTTCAAACAGCACTTTGACACAAGAGGGGAGCGGGATTTTGTGACCCAATTGGCTGGTCTTCTTTGTGGATCTTTTCTTGGAGCTGGCGTCGCGCTGGCGCTCTAGGTTGGTTGTTCATGTTTGTTGTTGTCAAATTATCGTTGTTGTTGTTGTTGTCGTCCTTTGTAACACTACCGGTATTTGGATGGCCACGCACGGCACGTGGCCGCCCAGGTAAGCTACTCCGGTACCAGCTAATGAATTTAGGGCACATAGTTCTAAAACTGAGCTGCCGTAGGAGCATCGGTAGTTGGGAGTGAGATTCACAGCAGCTTCACGATCTTTGCTCGTGGGCCGCGATTGTTTTCTGCAGGCTAGATGTAGTAGTGCACATCGGGCTTGGCATAGTGTTGTACCCACAGCGGAAGCCATCAAGCTCAAGCTACGAGTACGGTATGGGACCATGCACGTTTTGGAATCAGGAATGTGCCTCGGACTTACCGTGCTTGCATATATACAAGTAACTCGTAGGGGATTATGGTACATACGTAGTGCTCGGGAAGGTGTTTTTGTACTCGTCCCGGGTGAGAAGTACTTGGACATTTAGGGGGGAAACAGGGATATGACGGGGAAGTGAGACATATCAGGAGAGGTCTGTGTACATTGGTAAATACCGATAAACAAGCCCCGTGGTATTGGAGAGGTATTAAGTATTTGAACCTTCGTTCTCGAATATCACATACCTCTTCTATTATTCATCAGATAATAAAGAGTACCTTTTCGTTTTTTTCCTAAAAAAAAGACTTAAACTAACCGCCAATGTCTAGGTATTAGGCTAATACTTAAGCAATTAAGACAATACTGATCTAAATATAGACACCACCAATTAAAGTCAGTAGAACCTTTAATAAACAGTAGTATTATGTTTAAACTTCATGATTCCATACTTGTTGGACTTGTGATACCTGAAGATTACTGTAGACTTAAATATTGAATATAAGACTCAGTGGTCTTTATATTATATGTAGTCCTATGAGAAGACAATCTATAAAGTCTTCTGAATAGAAAGTTTAAGTTATTCCCATTATATGATAAGAACAAAGCTGTTTTGAGTATATAACAAAAATAGTAACAGTTAGCCTTTACTTTCTAACATTTCTACTAGACTTAGATATTCTATATTTTATACTATTTGCTAACTATTTTGTCATTTAGTATCAGTCAAGTCCAATTCCTTATACCACATCTCTCTTGTGTTTACTGGCTTTCTGTATTTACTATTGGTTTTCCTTCTACTTTAATCCTGATACATGATTTAGAGAGCTTAAATTTGGACAATTATAATACTCTATAGCTTTACTGTAATTTTATTACTCAATAATACTTTGTAAATAATTTGAAGTTGGTTTATAGTTAATGCTTATATTATTAAATATTGTTATTATTGAAATTGAATATTATCTATTATAATATTATTAATAAAGATGCAATAAGAAATATCTTCTATACTTCTAAGTTATTATAAAAAGTTCTACAAAGATGACAAAATAGTAATGGAAATGAGAATAATCTTAAAGGTTTTTAAAAAGCAAATTAGCCATTTCTTGATTGAGATAAAAGTACAAGCAAAAAGAAAAATATGCTAGTTATACTAATTAGAAGAAATTCAGTAACTGGTAATAGGTATTAATCTGTAGGAAATATTTCAGAAATAAATATACAGTAGAACATAATATTCTATAGTCCTCAAATCACTTTTAAAGTTGTTTATATCATAACGATAAGGTTATATAGTATGACAATATCATGATGGGGCTACAAAGTTGCGTTGAGCCGCAAGGTTACTGTGAAAAGCCACAAAGTAATGTTGAGCTGACTGACACGCAGTGCCCATGTTTGCGAGTAAGCGAGCAGCCAGGGGTTGTGATCGCTAGCCACAACCTTGGCACGAGTAGACGGCAGGAACCATAAATTTACAAGCGAGTTGTTCGGCCAAACCAAGGCTTTGTAACCACGCGAAACCGTACTGCCAAGCGGCCCATAAGTCAAAGTTGCCAAGACACAATCTCAAATCGCGATTTCAAATCCAAACCGCGCAGCCAAACGCCCCGTGGGCAGTAAAGTACGCATATAAGGGTAAGAATTCATTCTGGTTTTTTATGTAGGGGTGCATACGGAAACTTATTAGACACCAGTTGCATTACCACGCACGGTTAATTTTCGTCAGCGAACAATACGTCGGATACGGTACCTCAGCTGACCGGGTCATTCTGATATTGATCCTTGATTGATTCGCTGGTTCCCCTCGGTGAGCGCATATCTAGAGCGCCTGGTAAAAAAAAAAGACCCAGGAATGAGAGATATTGATTTCTGGAGCTTTTTATTGGTTGCTGTCTTGTGCCATTCTTTTCTGTGTTCCAACCCCCTGTCTTCCGAATCTTTTTTTCTTTTTTCCGGAGGCTGAAAGTGCAAGTTATTTGCACCTTCTAGGGTTGTTGGAATCCTCGCAGTTGACCACCCCTGCTAGGGATTCTGCAGGCTACAGTACTAGTACTACCGGTAATCCTGCACTTCGCCTGGCTTCAGAGAAATTTGTTTTCTTTTGTTTTTTTTTTACAGAAAATGACAATCTTGTGGAAACCTAAGGTATTGATAGAGCGGGTTCGGGAGATGGAGACATATAGTATCAACCTCACCTTATGGATCTCCTTGCAAACTCTACTCTGAAGTCTTCTACGGTAGGGTATCACGACTTCTATGACGTTCGCGGGGCGAATAGGTTTTATAGTCGTGCTGTTACACCAAAAAGCACCTGTAGCAAAAAACGTCCTCAAGCGTAGCTTCGTCACTTCGCAACCTAAAATACACAAGCTCAAGTGCAGTACATTACTAAATCCTCCGGAGGGGCCCGCCGGGGCTTGTTTAACACCCCCTAACTAAACCCTTGTGTTAGAGGGAAGTAAATTCACCTTGAGCTCTCAAGCACAGGAGTCTCTCTAGTCTACCAGTACTCCGTACACTACTATATCCCTAGGGGTTTTTAAAAGATTCTCAAAAAGCTAATACGTGGAGAGCTGTGTGCGGTAAATTGATAATTGTGCCCTGTACTGTACAAGGGGGAGGCGCGCAACTAGGGGGAGCAACTAACTCTAGCCGCGATCCGCTGCAGAGGGAATACTGAACCCCCAAAAAGCAAAAAGAGGAGAAAAGAAGAAAATTCAGAGCTGGGGGGTAGTTCAAGCACCCCTTGCCTGTACCTCTAAGAGTTTGTCAAGAGAAGGGTAGACTTCTACTTGGTGCGTAACCTACTGGTGCACGGCAGAAGTGTAGATCGCACTTGTGGGAGTGAACTCGCAGGATACGATAGTCTTTGGAGCTTCACGTCCCGTAAGGCTTGAACAATGGTCGGGTGCTACGGCGGGTTGAGGCGGGAGAAGGAAATACAGGGCCTGAGGGGTCTGCAATGGGCTCCACACCACTATGCCGCGGGAGGGTAGAGGGATTTTTGGGATACAAGGAGCTGGGGTAGCATGACGAGGGCGATGATTTATGGGGGTACCGCATCTCCCTTCGCTCGTAATTATGGTATCATACGCGGCTGCGACCGTGTATTTTAAATCGGAGATAACCAATGGAACCACATCCCGGGTTCCATGATGGGTTGATTTGGTTGGCGTCTAACTGCTCTCCATAGGTTGGAAACGCTGCTCGGAGAAATATTGTTGCCTAGTAACCGGATTTTATTGTTTCTGTTGGTTTTGGTGGGGTACTAGCACGCCCCGGATTTTATTCGTGAACTCTCAGCGTGAGGTGCTGCTAGGCTAGCGCATTTTTCTGTGATATTTATACTCTTGTTGTCCATAGTGCGTGTGATTTGGTTATCATTGCTTATTTGTCCTATGTCTACTCTTCTATTTTTTTGGTTCACAAGTCGTGAGAGAGGCTGGGGGAACCCAGCCTTGTTCTTGCATTTTTACACGCTGGTATATATATACATTATAGGTGAGGGATGTCGTAACTTATTTGTTGGTTTGGGGAGTCAAAACTCAACAGGGGGTTATTTTTTTGCCGGGTGGCTATATAATTTGTTGTCCCCTTAGAAACCTGGAGGGGACACCTCTGAGAAAGCCCATCTCCTTTGATCTATGCTGAAATTTTGCTAGTGGCCCTAGACATGGTGTATTGTGCGACCATTTTCTAGGGGCACTGTGTTTAATATACGGTGCCTTGGTAATGCCGCGCGATCCATCCTCTGTACTTCTTATCTACTGGAGCATTGGTTAGAGACAAGATGGTAAACAGTAATTTTCAAGATGTTTACTTTCTTTTGGTCAGCACAGTAACTAGTCTGACTCCGGTTCCTTTATTTTTTTTAGTGCCTTTTCCCCTTGCTCGTTTTTTTCCTTTCAGCCCCCTGCCCCGCGGCTTCTCTCTCAGCTGAACTACTGACGTTTCTGCGTCGAAATTTGACCGATAGTAGTACTAAACCGCCCTAGTTTGATTGTGTTAGACACTTTGGTCACCGAGGTAGCTCGGGCACGGCTGTGCATCAATATCATTTTTCTGGAATCCGCGGATCGCTCGCCACCCCACCTTCTCCCGCAATGCCCTCTGTCGAGACCCGGGTCTTACGAGGCTTTCCGCAGATCCCACTCACCAAGGTTTCCGTTGCCCTCGCAAACCGCTGCCAGAGGGATGGGCTATCGCTCGTCTGTTCCCCTCCTTCTCTTCCTTTTCCATGGGACCTCATCTTCCTATGGCGCCCGGGCGGGGAGCTCTCCTGCTGCGCGATCGCTGGGCCGGAGAATCGGATGCGGCGCAGCTGCCTATCCAACTCCGCACTCATGTCGAAGAGCATCTCCATTGAGAGCTGCAAAGATCGACGAGCGTCATTGTAGGAGATCCTGCCGTGGTCCAGGGCGGCATTTGTGCTCTCCATCTCTTCTATCATTCCCTCCATCTTTCGCATGTGCATCGATAGGCTGGGGGGATTCGCTTGAGTGAGGATCTCACGAGATGTGTTTTCTAGTTGGGCGCGGACCCGATAGGCCATCCCGAGGTGCCACCCTAAGGGAGATGGCGGGGGCGATTCGGGAGGAGACCAGGATTCTCCATGGAAAGTTTTGGAGAAGCGTGAAACTCTTGGTTCCAAGGCTCCTACTGTACCTGCGAACATTTTTGGTGTGAGCTGGGTGGTTTTTTGGTAGTGTTGATAGTTGGGGGGGGGGGGGCAGTGTGAGCGATGACGGCCAGATGGCGTGGTGATAGTGGCGATAGTGATAGTATTGCCGGTGGAAGTTGGCAGCACTTTCTAGCGAATCTTTAAGCGTTTTATATCATACCTTGGGGACTTCAAAGCCCCTATAGAGTTGACATGAAAGAGTCTATAGAGTATTGAATCTTGAATGGGAAGTCTCTCGCTACGGTTCCCAGTCTGTGATTTCCCAACCTTATTCAAACCTTGAGGTCTTTGGGGACTCTTGGCGGGCACGCTCTGTGTCACTTTCAAACCTAACCCAGGCGAGTGATATCCTATGATGACGTCCCCGAGTGTTGTTGATTTGGGGGCATTTTAAATTATGAGTGGTGCGTTGGCCTAGGAGTCCGCCCCCCCGAAAGCGCGTGTGAGAATATGCAAACCGAATCAATTTATCCGTCTCCTCCCTAAGCCTTCCCCCCTCGACAGCGCACAAAGTTTAGGACCCAGACTCCGATCCGCTAGTAGGTTATCGATACGATAACGATAACTTAAATCATCGTACATAGCGATACAACGACTGAACACAAAATATGGCCAGGTAAACCCGATTCCAGAGTGGAGAGACAGAGGTAGCTGTTGCCCTGGAGTTTGAAAAGTCATTGAACACTTGTCGTCGCGGTAAGCTGTTTGTTGTCTGTCTCAACCCTGAAGCCTCATCACGTGTTCCACCGAATGCTCGACCAACGCGATTTCCGGTGGGGCGTGAGAATTCACAAGGGCGATACCCGCCATCGCTACGGTAGTCGGGGGGGGATTGCCATCTCACTTGCGGTACCGATTTCGTGCGCGGTTATTCACTTTGTCTCTCCTGGAAAAAGGCGAGAGTGGTGGGTTACTTGACTGACGCGGGGCGGTTTTCCCAGCGATCCCGGGGCCTCGTTTAATATGGTTAAAGTGTTGCGCGCGCGCACACTGTCGTAGGTTATCATGGGGACGGGGCCTTGGACCTTTGTGTTTTTTCTTTCTTTTTTTTCGTTGATCTTCACCGAAAAAAACTTAATTCGCGGGCTAGGATGTTTGGAGAACATTAAGTTAGTCTAAGGCTGGGGAAACCGAGCTGGTAAAAACCTTATTTCGTAGTTTTTGCTTTTTTGGGGGGAGATGGGCTATATTTTTCTTGGATGGATGGCTAGGTCGCTTCGGCCTAGACTAACCCACTCTAACTCTCATAGCCCATGGGAATCCGAACACTGGAATTATGAGGCCCTGAGGCATACACTCAATTAACCAGCAATATGTCATAATCGACCGAAGGCCTGTTAGCATAATCGAATTTTGATAACGGCATACCGGTATTGCGCCCACCTTGTCTGGGGAATGCTCCAGGACAGGGCGCCCTGAAATTGTCCTTTGGTCATGCTGGGTCATTCAATGGAGTAGCTAAACCCTAACCCAAGTCCTGAGGGCGCATGAAGTGGCTTAGCCATGCGCAAATATAATGCGGTACGAGTAGACGTGCATTGGGGCTGAGGCACCCATCGGGCAGTGTCGTGAGAATTCAATATCCTATCGCTCTTGAGGGCGATTTCCTCCACGATGGTAATATCATACCGGTATTGGAACAGCGCTATCGAAATTCCGTCAAGAATTGCATGGGCTGTGCGCAGCCTCTCAGCTTCTACCCTCACTACCAGTTTGCACTACCCAATGGGTTCGAATTGCTGGGAGCAAGCTTGTGTTAACCAGCGTCAACGAATGTGAAGCATACTGTTCTTGAAATAAGGTAGCCGGGATGGTGGGGCACAGGAGTCCTCGATTGTCGAGTGTGTGCGTAGCATGAGCTCTGAGCAGCCACATCTCTTGCATCTGATATGTGGTTGTGTGCTTCGAGGATTGGACCTGCTTCGAGTACTGGCTGCGCAGGGCGGCTTCAGTGAAGAGCATTCGTTATAGCCTTGTGTCGTGCCGCACAAGTGCAAGTCAAAGCCTTGTTCAATCATGCTTCCCGGTGTTAACCTCCCTACTGAAAGCTGTCACTCATGATAGCCGCTCAATCGGGATCTTCCTCAAATAATTAAGGGGTTTAGTTGTACCGACCGACTATTTTACCGCCTTCCCCTGAGTGCATCCGACTCCTTCTACCAAGATGTTCGAAAAAAAGTTGATGTATCACGTTTGGGATTGAGCGCGGAACAAGGCATATAGGGGGCCCCAATAGAGTGGCTTACCGGGAGCAATGTAACAGCACTTTTCGGATGATCTTCGGATTTTGCTGGCTCCACCGTTATATGTCTCAAAATAAGCATAAAGTAGCGCGTGTTACCGAAAAAGCCACCGTGCCCTGTTCGACAGTGTCCTATTCGTTACCTAACTTGAGCTGCGACGTCTGGGGTCAACCCAACGGAGATCTTTTTGGGGGTTACGAAGCCCCTGACAACCCCTCGCACAAGTGGCGAAGGTGTTATTGAATTATTATTATTTCTATTGGATGCATTCTTGAGAAGGTCTGATCCCTGATGTGAGCCTAGGGATATAGCGATATCTCTGTTTGGTAAGAGCTTAGTGTTCGAGGTGCCGTAGCGCCGTCGCTCGGAGTTGAGTCTGGGGTAGGGGAAATCAAGCTGGAGAGATTAAATTTGCCTTGGATTCGGTGTTACACCCTGAGTGAACGGAATGAGATGCGCGGGACGCTCAATCGGATCAAGATATGCATATCAGGACGAGGCTCATTAAAGCTCCTGCGGGTAGAGCTGAAAACAACCCACTTTCCCCACACCCCGGAGGTTACCGTAAGGCAGCAATTTGTTAATGTCCGCTATCAGATGATGAGGTCAGCTCCGGTTACACAAGGACTGGAGGACCGGTATTTTTGATATCCCCAACCCGATCAGCCCTGAATTCCAAACTATTCTTAGTGTTAGCACTAAAGTGCGTTCTACAACCGCTATTTGGAAACTGCTCTACTTGCGTAACGTTTCTGTAGAAAACAGCAATTTTAAGTACTACGGTTTCGCAGAGGGTGAGGCCCGCCGGTAGCCCGGGCGCCCTGTGGGAAATTTGCTAATCTGCGGTCGATGATTGGGACGGAGTGTGCTTATTGGCTTACTCGAGGTCGAGTAACCCCCTGGGTGATTTACTCTTGAAAGACTGAGAGTTATGGCACATGACTGCCTGTGTGAGTATCCGGGGGGTGACTCGGGTATCTGGGTATCATTCGGGTGATGGCGTAACAATTGTTCTGGGGGGATTGTGCGTATAGCTCTGCTGAACCATCAGTATGGGGGCCGCTTATAATTGCCTAACATACTAGATGGCTTCTACTCCGTATTCTCTTGGTGAAAATGTCTATTTTTATCTTTCAAACTAGGAGCTTTGCAGGTTGAGCAATAATCAAAAGGAGCAATGGTAAGAGAGCTTTTCTCACCCATGCAGTAGTATTGTGGTGCGTGGGGGAAAAATAACGGAGGATTTCTCGCAGGAATTTAGAAAAACCTGGAGTTGGAACAAAGCTCTAGCTCATAGACTATTATTTTTGAGGAAAACAGCCTCAAAAATTCCGGATTATGACTATTGCAGTGAAACGAAATCACACATCGAAACATAACAAATAGGAGTGGTAAGGAATTTCCCGTAGGATCTCATCGCACAGTACGTAACTTGCGAACTCCCCATTTTGTGTAGCGGGAAATATTGCCCAAGGTGTTGGGAATTGTGCCCTTGGGGTTTGCTGACCAATTGTGAGATACGCGATCTTCTACAGCAGACCTGCGATCCGAACCTGGGGGGTGGGTGCAGTTTAGATTCTACAAGATTTAGGGCGTGATATTCGGCAAAGTTGATTTCGATTCCAAATCGCGGGTTGAATGAAATCTATAAATGAGAACTTTTCCTGAAAAAGTGATTTGAAATCGCAATTTGCGAAACACAACCTCCTGATTTGATTTATATTGGGAAAAAGTGATTTGCATAACTTGTACTTTTGCGCCTAATCAGTTCTAATTTTCAAATACGTATACTCGTTATAATGATATAAAAATTGAATACACATTTGGTTACCAATGTATCCCTTTCCTGAAATCAATGATATCCAGCCTCAAATTAAATTGGGATTTCATCCCAGATCACAATTTCAAGTAACAATCACGTTTGTCAAACGCTCTGCTATGACAAGAGTTGATTTTCTACTTTAGTAGATTCTATTTCATGCATGATACTTGTAGCATAAAAATATGGCGCAAGAACGGGTAACTGTCTACCAGATATACTCTGCGCAACACAATAACTTGCCGAATACTAGCCCAAACCAAGTAAAAAAAAAAAAAAAAGCCCCACCTTTGTTATGCCTCACTCCGTGCATATTTCTACGGTTTTTCCACACAATTTGGTCCAGTATTAGGTTGGCTATTCCGTGTTGCACATCCGGGATCTAGTTATCGCCCTATCCATTCTCGCACCATATGCCAAGACAATTCCCAAATCCCTTCCGGGTTGGTGTGGGAAGTTGTCAACCCAGCCTTTATACACGGGGTGAATATCAAAACTGATGAAATGATTTGGGCTTTTGGTATGATATGATACTTGCTTCCCCTTTGAGAAGCCCTACTGCCCGTATTCCCTTTATTTCACGCTTGGCGGGATTTTGGCGATTGATACCCTTTTGGACTACCAGTGGCAATGAATGATGGGAAGCACTGAAAATTAAATGTGAAAACGGGTCATGAGAAGAGGAAAATGTTTTGTAGTGATATAGCTGCTATAGAGCCCGGCGTCAATGCCTCCAGGTCGTGTGCTGTCCTGTACCGTTCTAATACCACCAGCCCCCCACTCTCACCCGACCGTCTAACGGTATCCCGAATTCATACAATAACTGCTACCGTAACCCCCAAAGCAAAAAGCCGACTGGGGAGAAAATGGAAGAGATGGGAAAGATGAAGTAGAAAAAAATTTATGATTGCTAATTGGTAGAAATGAAGAGTAAGAATTACAAAAGGCGTAAAGTAAGGGATTGAAAAGCAAACGGAAAATCCCAATCTATGTAGCGACCACTCCCCTTCCGTTCCCTTCCCTGTCTGCTAATTCCATTGTTCGCTCTATCTCTACGCCTCCCCCCTTTTTATTCTCAAACCCCAATGTTTGCTGTAAAGGAGAGAAATCGCTCAAACATCCCCCCACTGGACCGAACGCAAAATCCAGGGCGAGGAAAAGGATCGAAAAGAACATAACCGCTTTGCTCCAATTAGGTTGTGTGGTGGTTTCTTGAGTTAGTGGCATGAACGATGTGGTTGTTGGTTCTCTATCCTGTTCAGTAGCCATGGGAGTGGGGGTCAATTGAATGAATGGTTCTGGTGATGCCTTTGAGGGTTAGTGTGTGCTGCATTTGCATTGCCTGGATTGGCGCAGGCGGCACTTCGTTAACCTTTTCTATAGTAATGGAAGTGATGGTTTGCTTAGAGGAACTTAGGGATTCGCAGGTGGTAGTGGAAAAAAGAGGGCGTGGTGGTGGCGACGGTAGTCGTGGTGGGGGTACAGCGTCAGATGTGTTCCTCTTTGCCCTGTTCTTCCTCTTATATTTGTATTTTTTGGTGGCGGGGGCTTGAGGTTGTGTTTCAGGGACTGAATGTATTTGCGCTGGTGGGTTCTTTGCGTTGGCAGATGTACCTGTGCTGCTAGTTTTAGTAGGGGCGGTCTGAGCAGAAAAGGCGATAGTGGGTTCAGGTATATAGGCTTGGCAGCCGAAATCTCGAGTGGAAGGAGTTTCGATGATATCGGTCTGGGAGCTGGAAGTTGAAGTCTTTGTAACGCTCAGTTGATTTTGGAGCAGTTCGGTATCGACCTGGGAACCAAAATCCTGCATACTCAATCCTGGGGTGATGGGCTGAGTATCAATACCCATTGGGGTAGTATCATGTGCTACCGCTGCGGGCCGAGCTTCAACTTCAGTTCCAACTCTCATCCCCCCACCCGCGCCCCCGCCAATCTCCTCATGAGGTTCCTCATTCATCTCCTCTTTAGCTTCCTCTCTCCCCAAATTATCGCCAGAAGCCACAGTATTATTAACCGCCCAGGTAGGTGTTTGGGCGACACCCCTAGCATCGAATCCACTATCTTGCACAGGCCACCAGCCAAGATTAGACTTTCCTTCCATAGCTAGGAACTGCCTCCGGAAGTTTTCAAACATCAACATAGCAGAATTATACACTACGTGGTCTATCGCGACTACCGCCCTCGGATCGACAAAAAACCCACCGCAGGAGATGGCATGAGCAGCAGATGGGCAGAACAGATGATGCGGTATCTGCGGGTTTTGCTGTGAGAAGGGCGGGTAAGGGCCCCAATTGGCATCGTGCGCCGGATACACCTGTTGCTGGTCCCCCAGCGGTGGCTGCTGTGTCATAGAGTTGGGTGGTGGGGGGATTTCGGGGGTAAATAGTTGGAGTCCAGGGGGGTGCAAGGGAGAGGATATTGGGGAATCTTCCGCGAAAAAGTTTATTTGTGGGCGGGTGGTATTAGTGGGGGGGGTGTTGGGATTCCCTATATCAGTCTTCTCGTAGGCCTCCTGGAGGTTTCGGTTCAACATCTTGAGACGGTCGGTCCAACTCAGGCCGTGGTAGATATTCCCCGCAGGAGGGGCAGCGGAGGTGGATTCTGAGGCAAGGCTCTTCAGAGCAGGAACGGATACGTCGGCCTGCTGAGAATTATTACCCTTTGAGCCGCGTTTCATACAACCCGGGCTATCGGAATAGCGGAACTGATAACAAGGTTCAAGTTCTAGAGGACTGATAACCCTCATTTCAACAGACTCTACCTCAGGCCCAACGGTAGGGGAGGTTGTAGCACCGGTAGTAATAGTAGCGGATTCACCTTTTCCCGCGTACGCCTCTTGCAATCTCCAATTAAGCATTGCGAGAGAATCATCCCAATCAAGTCCATGATAAATGGCAAGGAAAGAATTGCACCCGGAATCTCCTGTCCCCTGAGCACTAGTCATACTTTGGACAGTCCCCCCAATAGCTACTTCCACTTCATTAGTGCCTTTAGTACGGTCTTCAGTAGAGGAGGTAGATGTACCTTGGTTGCCCCTTCCAGTTCCCAATGGGGAAGGACAGTAGGAAAATCCCCCGTTTCCAGTATTTTTAACATGGCGCTGGTCATGAGACCAGAGGTCTTGAATGTTGATCGAGCGGAGATTTTGAGTGGGGGTTTCGTGAAAAGTGTTCGCTTGCTTATTTGCACCAGTAGCCATGATGGATTGATCGTATTGGAGTTGTTGAAAATGGTTTTCCAGCCTGGAATCGTAAGGAAGATGTTTGGGTAGTGTTTGGATGGAGTTTGAAAGGAAAATTTAGAAGGACGATGTGGGTGGTGGTGGGACCTTCTTGTTGCGAGAGGGGATGGAAGGGGAGAAGGGAAGAAAGATTGATGAGGGGGGGGGGTTTGCCAAGTGGGAGGTGGGAGGTGTGTGTTGAGAAGGAACTTGTGGAGGGGTTTTTTCTGATAAGACTGCTATATAGGGTTTCTGGGAAAGTGGTTGTAGAGTATGGGTGGTATCAAGTCGCAGTAAGAATGAGGGTTGAGCAATAAATACCATCTAGTCCACAACCTAACTGCAACTTAGAAAATCCAGGGTTCAAAGGGTAAAATAAAAAATCAGTAACGAAACGTAAACTATGGTTCAACATAGTGCAGCTCCATCAAGATGGATCTCCCCAATAACTCTGAAATTTCTCCTTGCTGCAACTGAATCCGAGAAACATAAAAGAGAACAGTTCAAGGCACATCGGAGCCCATTTAGGGTCCCCAATAATTCTTGATCTAGTTTTCTATTGCTAAAAAATGCTCCTATAATTTAATCTTTAAATCGTTGGTTCATTCTGCGATGGAAACCATAGAAAGATATGAATATGGAGAAATTAGACTTGTCCCAAAATTCCCATTTTCAGATCGAAGGAGTATTCCATGTCAATGAGAATACCCCGCCCGAATTTAGGAAGTGTGATCATCAGGACTCACTCGTGCCAAGACATCTGTAGAGGTTCGTTTTGGGCTACCGTTACCGTACCCCACTGCCAAGGCGGAAAGCATAAAAAAGAATCCAATACCGTAAGCGATCTGTACAACAACGCCCAGATAAAAAAGTCTGTGGGTTTCCCCTTCTATTCTCTTGAGGTAGTGAGGGGTGGAATGCTCTTTTTTCTTCAAGGTACCTGCCAAGACAAGGGTTTTGTACGGGAAAGATCCGGTGGGATTGCAACAAACCTTGCCCTGTCAGGTGCTCACAGCTCTGTACGAACTCGAGATGAAAAGTCCGAAACAAGCATATATTATATGATACTTCAGAGATGCTAGGTTTTTTTTCTTTCAATGGTGAGTTTCAAAGTATCTGTGGGATATAATGGCTCAAAAAAAAAACCCCAATTTTGGTGTTTTGGGGCTAACGACCCCACCGCATCGCCGCCCATTCCATATTCCGATGTTGCCAAGGTTCTATCATCCTGGTTAGTATAGCTCATAGAAAAAAAATGAGAAAGTAGGGGCTGGGAACACGGACAACGATTAGCTCGAGTCACTAAATGCCTCTAATCAGAACTCCGAAATCCGTCTCATTTTCCTGTCTATATTCACCAGGGGGCTATGCGGGTGCTGTGGTAGGGGGGTGGTTCGACGATATCTTACTTTACTTGTAAATTAGTGCAGGCTTCCCCACAAACCAGTACCCTCTCTATGCTTTCGGAAACTAGAGAATGCTGTGGCTGGAGAGAACGAATGCAAGAATTGAGGTTTCACACAAACGTATTAAGAAAGATATAATTTCCAGGAAAATCTGCCCGTATCTATGTTATGAAGACCGATTGCATGACTCTAGGAAGAGCGGCAAACAAAATGAAACTGAACACCCAGGGAATCCATCGGATCTAATCGTCTCAGATAGAAACTCAACCCTCATTAGATCCTAGTTCTCCAGCGGTTCTGCTCGTTACCATCTTCCCACTCCTTCTCGACATATCCCAACTCTTGTTTGACTTTCTCAACAGTCGCCTGGTCGCCAGTATTCTTCGAGATATTATCGCTGATCTTCACTGCGGGTTTACCATTCGCAGAATTGATTTTAATGACGATGTTTAAGGGCCAGGACCTCCGGCTCGGATTACTCAAGTGCACAAAGTCGTCTGAATAGTTAGTAGCTGAATAAGATTAAAGATATGTGGGAATATACTTGTCAGAAAAGTTCCAACGCCAAAGCTAGGCATAAAACCTTCCCTCTCAGCGAACTCCTTATACTTTAGGCAGAGGTCAACGTCCAGACTGTCTGAGAACACAACCACTTTCTTCGACTTAATCCCTTGCTCATCATAGAACTTGCGCATACGCTTGACAAATTCCTCTGGGTCACCAGAGTCCTGACGGACTCCTGCGAATACCTCAGCGTAGGACCTGCCGGATGGAGGATATTTCAAGGCAAAGTTTCTCAGGAAGTGTGGGGTACCAAAAGTGTCCGTAAGCGCAATTGAGAGAACCTGATGGGTTAACAAAGTCAGGCGCGGTTCTGTGCAAGAGTACCGGAGCTAGATACTTACTCCTTCACCAAAGCAATCGATCCATTGCCGGAGGCCGATCTCATTGGCACGGGTATAATCGCCTGTAATTGCGGCAATGCCCATAAACCATTCGTGCGCAACAGTTCCGATAGGATTGAGTCCCATCCTACAAAATTTGAGCACGTATTTCAGCATATTGTTATGTCGCCCCTCTGCCAAGATGTGACAGGCGATGGAAATTCGTGCGCAGACCTATGAGCAAAATGTACATTGCTGGTTCCCGATAATTTGCCCTTCCTTCCCCCACTTTTCTCATAATGCGCCATCGCACGAACCAATCCATTCAATACAAGTTCTTGGGTATCTGCCGACCTTCCAGTAAAAAAAAACATACGCCAAGCGAGATGGCCCATACTTACGATAACTCCTTCGCCGCCTCGTCCCAAACTCCGATAGCAAACATCCATTCTCCAGGAGCTGCATGCCCTTTGCAAACGCCTTCTCCTCCTGGCCTTCGTAGTTCCAATCCGTGTTGGAGAACTTAAAGTACGCCTCGCTAACTAGAACCAGTAATGGAATCTCGTAGAGCATCGTTTCCACCCATTTGCCTTTGATGTCTATCCTCACGTCACCCTTCGCACCAGTGTCAGCCTCGGAATGACAAGGTTGAAACATCGCGTACAAATTCGACATTTTGCTCCAACCCCCCATTCTCTTCACTCGCCATACGGTCGGAAACGCCTGTGTCAGGCGTAAAGGCGAGTGCAAGTTGATCATCTGGTTTGAAGGTGAACTTCTCGAGGTAGGCAAGGTAGGTTTTCGGGAGATAAGGACAGGCGCTTTGCAGGAACTCAAGCTCCGCCTGCGAAAGACGAAGCCGTCCCAATTCTGATCGCACCAGGTCAGCGGAGTGGCCAGAGGATCGCAATCTGCGGGGAACTCCTACTCGCGACTTGAGCCTTAATCCATTCGAAGCCTTCGCGCGACATTTTTAGGTCAGATGTCCGATTTGTGTAGGCGTATGTTACATCTGCCAGACATATCAGCCAGCCTCGATTCTGCGCAGCGAACAGGGAAAACAAACCGACGTTAGGATAGAACTTTAAGACGGCGGATTGCATTGTAAGTTTGTAAAGATCCGTATCAACTAGAGATGCTATGCCATCCACCGCCTCGGTTCCATGGCGAAATTTGCTCGACATTATTGACACCGGCTATGGCTCTAAAAACCCGGGAGGAGGCCTAAAGGGCTGGAGATGTTTGATTTTCCAATAACTTAGGGTAGTCAGAGCGGCCAGTTGCAAGAGACTCTGGAGGAAGAAACCGATGAGGGCGAAGCGAGATGGCGCACTTTTGAATGGATGAATAATCATCCCGTGAGATGGGCGGCGGACAAGGGAATCTCTTGGCAACGTCGGTGCTAACCTAAAACTAACCATGACGTCAAACTTTGGCAACCAAGTGGCTAAACATCAATAAAGAACAATGAATAATTTTCCGTAAGCACAAATTTCCCAAATTTCCCGCAGCCATAAATGACGCAGCAACCAGGAATGGTGCTCCTGCACGTCTGTAGACTATTTTATTGACTAATGAGGGCTCATCCAGGCCCTTTTGCAGCGGTTTCTACTCTAAGCCAGCCCGTGTGTTACACCCTACTATTGTACCGGGAAAACCAGAGGTCATATTCATACAAGGAATGGCACCATAGATGTCCGATAGTCTATATAAAAACAAGGGGTTGCGAGTAGCAATGCCCAATTTAGTGGAGGGGCCAACGACAGAAAAAGAGAGAAGAAGGGTTGATTGAGCGACTCATTTATTTTTTTCAATTGAACTTGTAGAGTCTAGCTGAGATACTGCCCAAGTGAGGTACCAATCGACCTGCGGTTTGGCTCGTACGGTTCAATGTCAGGTAACTAAGGTATAGCACCTGCAATGGGTGCCCTAAGAGACTGCTCAATAAGACAGAGCCATACAGTAAAGTACTAGTTACAATATCTCCTTGACACCACGCCTACTCTCCGCCCTCTTTTGTGATGGCACAGTAATCTCATTGGTAGGACAGTAGGCGAGGGTTTGTAATATTAGCAGCACCTTTATCAGGCTGTGAGCGTACGTACTGTACTCGTGCCTCCTCACCAAGAGTTGGCACCCGTTTCAGCATAGCGAGCGTGAGCCCAAATGTAGTATGGTATGACTACTTGGTGGCAATATGTTCCGTGATCCACTGCAGGGTGACCTCTCGCAATTGTGAAGTAGTACTACGTCAAATATGCATACCAAAGTTCGTTCAATCCTTACAATCCATTCAAGTCATCAATTAACAGGTAGGTACTGCTTACAGTCCTTTGGATAATTGTAATATTAATAACAAATGACAGGATGACAGTTGGTAGAAGTCTGTCGGAGTCTACAAGAGGACCAATTATTGCTCTACATATTTCCGCCAATATGTCATTTGACCAAATCGCATCAAGCCTGCACCTTCACCAAGAAACCGTTCATAAAACCTACAGAAGAACAGAGGCAAGATCAACCCCATTGCAAGGCATTCAGTCCTGGGCTGAAAAAGGATTTTGAAAATGAAGCTTTAAGTTAGTCCATCAAATATGTATGCAAAAAGGACATTACACATACCAAAGTCTTTCAACCCGGTACTGAATGCCTCTATTACAAGTCAGTAAGATAGAGTTAACCAGAGTTATAGGAGCGTGCACAAAGTCCTGCAATTCAGCATATACTAGAAGTAGTCAATCTTGGTAATAAAAAAAGACAAGAGCCGGCTATCCCACAACGATATCCTCCCAGAAGTGAAGTCTCAGAAAGGCTCAAAGAGTTAGCTACTCAGGACGAAGAATACCGGCTTCGAACCTTTCCACAAATTGTCCGTGAGGCGGGAGTTAAGCTGGTAGATTCGGCTGTATACAAACTTATGCATGAGAACTACAATCTCTACCGGTATAAGCCACAACATAAACCTCCTCTTGATGCCTCCGGTAAACTGAAGCGCTTACAGCTTGTTGACTGGGCATTGGCCCAACCAATAGAGTCATTAGTTTACAGTGATGAAATGATTTTGGAGGTTGGCGCACCCCATAGGCACAAATGGATTACTCGTGAAAAGGGTCAAGATCCATATATAATACTATTACATGACAAGAGGAAGGGAAATGGTTTTAGTATCATGGTATCTGCAAGTATATCATTAGGATATAAGGGTCCAATTTGGATTTGGGTTAAAGAAACACCAGCTGAGAGACATGAAAATGCAGAAGAATTTCATGATGAAAATACAGTGAAGATTCAGCGAGCAGAAGAGAGGCGACAAATAGCAATGAATGATACCTGGCACCGAGGAGCATGAATATCTCCAAGCTCTGAACCAAAATATCAACTTCTTCAATGCGAACCATGGTTCTATAGAACCTCATCGGCTACACCGGCGGCCCTACTGGGAGTTTGGAGAGGAAATACGTAGTCGAAGTATCGGTGGTGGGATGGGTTAGTTTCTCTACCAGAAGCACATCCTTCATGAGAGACTCTATCCCTTTATTGGAAGAATCCAGCAAGAGACAGGTCGCAGATGCTGGCTTGTTGAAGATAATGCTGGTAACCATACAACAGCTGCCCGGATGGATATGGAAGCTCAAGGACAGAGAGTTAGCCAGATCCCATTCTGGCCTCCAAACTCTCCTGACCTCAACAAAATCGAACAATGCTGGAATTACTTAAAGGACTCAATGGCTCAGTATAATTTTGTTGGAAGTGGTGAGGAGACTAAGGACCAGGTACGGGAGGCATTGGCAATTGAGTGGGAATGTATGCCCCAGGAACTGATTGATCGTTTCTGTATGAATTTTCATACAAATTTGCTACAAGTTCGAGCATGTGGAGGGGATAATAGATTTAATGCATGATTCTGTTTAAATTATTGCTGCTTTGATTTCTGTATTTACACGTACAGTCGGTTGATTACTGGAATACTAGGTGGGTGGGGGGGTGGCAAATTGAAGGCTATACTGCATAGAGGTCGGTGGCAGCTATTCCGAAACGGGTGCCAACTCTTGGCGAGGAGGCATGAGTATGTATCATACTGTACAGGACAGGTGGGCGTGCATACCTATCCATATTTAAATAGTTAGCAACGGCCTTACGACCAACATTCCACACCCAAAATCTCCCTGAGCACATTAAGCTTCCATCAGCATCATCTTGCCGGGAGATGGTAAAACCTTCTATTGCCAAGACTTACCCAAACACACATTCCATCTCCCCCGCCGATGGGCTCGCTTCGTGAAGAGCATATGCATCTCATAAAGGGCATATTCCCTTTACCAAGTATCTCACTCTGTGAGTGAGATACGCCGTTGACCAAGAAATGGTTTATGTCATCCCGCTCACAAAGCTAAGGGCTTATAAAAAGCACTATTGACTTACGTGAGAACTGCTTCGAACAGAACCAAAGCTCGATTACCCAAAGTCCAGACGAGGCTGCGCCACTGGTACTGCGTACTTCTCTCATAGTGTACAGAGACGAATATATGTAGCAGCTCAAGCGCCTGCTAGAGGGCATGGGACCGGTCGCACTGATGGTACAGGGGGACGTTGAGGGTCTGTAACTTATAGGAGATGCAAAACTGGTTTCCAATTTACCCGGCTACTGGAATTCATCGAGCATTTTAGGGGACCAGCAACTCGTAGATTATTCACTATAGAGTGTATCCAGAGATACTTATCCTGTGGTAACTTAGAGTCTATCTCTTTAAGGATCGTTTTTCCTGTCCGTAAAAAATTTGCATCTCGACCGGTGTAGACCAAATTTTCCTGGGCGATGGCATGTCCCATTCAAAAAGTGGCCTACTTAGCTAAGGAGATAAGCTCTCGTTCAAGTCTTAGTTTTGCTCGCGGTGGGCGGTGGGTAAGCTGTAAAGTCATGTCTCTGATGAGGTTCTTGATAAGATGCCAGCGAAGTAGGTGACGGGGTGTCGGTAGAAGGGTAAGCGCTTTGGCACATGCACAGCTTGATTACCAGAATTAAAGGAAGTGGGGCCGCTATTCAATCGCTTCCTCGTGCAGTAGTGTAATGTACAGAGATCATATTCTTCATACCACTGTGTCGGGTGCCGGCCTCGGCAATCGGGATCAAGTGAAGGAGTTCGAAAAAAGAGAAATAAAAACAACTCTCATGATGTCACCTAACTTATAGGAATTGAGTGTATATGGTTTCAAAAGAGAGGCCGGAAGAACTCACGTTTTGACTACTGCCGGTGTACCCCCAGCTGTTGAACACACTGTCAGCTGTAACTTAGTGGTTTCTTTCAGGATGATCTAATCACGGACGGTATTAGTAGTTGACCGCACAAGTGCTGTGCTGTTTTTCCTTGGATTCCCCCTCCCACCATTCCGATCAGTCTTATACTTCTATCATTCAATTCATTCTTTACTCAGGCCAAAATGACCACTCTTTTCGCCCAATCTAGCAACTAGTGCAGTACTCTTCCGACCACTCCCAGTATATGTTAAAAGCATGACACCCCGTCATGACACGAGCTTCTCTGTGCTCGACTTGGCTCTGAAGTGAAAGAGAACCCAAACGAGTACTAGTATTAATATTGGAGCTTCGCTCCACTCGACGAAATTCTGAAGATTCAAACCGAAGTTGCTATCACACTAAGGTCCCCCCATGCTCACAGCCGAGCCCTCAGGCCGCTCCACAGCCTTTGACCCCTCCCTGCCCAAATCTCACATGATACAATGGACGACCCTGCTATGATATAGTACTTTCTTCGCAATGCATAGATAAAACACTCAGTGAGGCTAAGGGGAGCCTTCCAGAGATCCATGTTCACACCCCTAGCAAGGCACAAGGCCTTCCAAACGCCTACAATTCCCTCGGTGGTATATAAAGCCTCTGGCATCCGTACCTATAAAAGTATCATTAAACTTATTTGACTCACAAGTATCGCATTACCCGTACACCTACAGGGCACGCGACCCGCCCTCGACCCCAAACATGTGACGATGCATAAGAAGGGCCAAGAACATAACAGGGCAGTGCTAGAGCGCAACAGGGCCAGAAATTCCAAACCCCGGGAGTAGGAGATATCTCTCTATTATGCTTCTCAGTTATTGTCCAGTGCAGTGTGCCTAAGGGTATCATAGTTAAGTCCTCTCTGAACGCAGAATTGGTGGTGAATCGTTCCGTGGAAACCTAACCTCAAAGCTTGAACTTTCATTCGCCTCTGGCGAAGTACAAGACTACCAATTTTGCCGGGATCCCACATTGCAAATATCTAGAGT